TTCCCCTACCGCACTCCATCCCTCCCCCCGCCCCCGCTCTTCCTGGTACCAGTTCCCCCCCCGGTAGACCCCCTTCCCCCTCAGGGTCCTGCCCCTTCAGGTGTGTCCCAGGTAGACGCGGTCGAGCCTGTCGAGGTCACTGGTGACTCTGGTGCTGCTGCGGGTGCTGAGCCTAGGGGTGCTGCGACTGGGGGTGCCGAGCCTAGGAGTGCTGCGACTGGGGGTGGTGAGACCGAGGGTGTTACGCCTGGGGGTTCTACGCCTGGGGGCGCTACGCCTGGGGGTGCTGAGCCTGGGGGTGCTGAGCCTGGAGGTGCTGGGCCTGGGGGTGCTACGCCTGGGGGTGCTGAGACTGGGGGTGCTGAGACTGGAGGTTCTCCGGGTGCTTCGTCTCGCCGGGAGCCACTCTCCCCACAGGAGCTGCACGAGTGGTTTTCCCGGTGCTGGAGTCGTGCTGCTGGTGCTGGAGGTTCTTCGGCTACTGAGGGTGCTGCTGTCGCGGGTCCCGGAGGTGCTCGTCCTGGGAGTACTGGAGCTACTGGGCCTGCCGGTTCGACTCGAGCTGGTGCTGCTGAGGGTGTTGGCGCTAAGACTACCACTGGCGGTCCTGCTGGGGGTGCTCCTAGTGCTGCTGGAGGTTCTGGAGCTGCTGGAGGTGCTGCTGGAGCGGGTACTCCTGCTGGGGGTCCTGGTGCTGTCCCTGCTGTTTCTGACGTCGCCACGCGGCCTCGACTGTACTTCGTTCCACTCCTGCAGCAGGTTCTTGGTCTTCCACCTTCTACTGGTCCTCCTCCTCCTCCCTTAGAGGGTCCACAGCCTGTCCAGTCACAGTCACAGCCACAGCCTGCCTCCCCTTTGCCTGCTCCTTCTCCCTACGCTGGTCCTACTGGAGGTCTTACTGAGCGTCGTGAGCCTGCGTCTCGTCCTGCGTCGCCTATTCGTGCTGCGCGCGCTAGTGGTCGCGGTTCGCGTCAGCGTCCTCCTCCTGTCCCTGGCACGCACCAGATGTCTCTACGTCCATCCACTGCTCCTCTGCATGCCCCTTTGCCTTCTCCTCCTGAGTCCTCTCTTCCTGCTCTTGCTGACCCGGAGTCGGACTCTCTTCGTGCTGCCAGTCCTACTGTCACGCGTCTCCTTGCTACTGTTGTCACTAACCCTTCTTTCGAGTCTACTGCTGCGTCTGCCCTCGTGACTGAGCTCGTCGACTTTGCTGCTCGCTGTCGCCTAGACTACGCTGCTAGTCTTGTCGCTGAGTCTGAGTCTGTCTGTCCTCCGTCCGTCGGGGGTGAGTGTGCCCTTGGCACGGACGTCCTTGAGGACAGGCAGGAGGAGTTCCAGTGTCTGGCAGTTGCTTCACCTCATCTCGTGTCTGTACTGCTTACCCCTGAGGGAGACCCGGATGCACTTGACATCCCGACTCCGCGCTCTTACGCGGAGGCGATAGAGGGTCCCTACTCCTCTCAGTGGCAGGCAGCTATGGATGCAGAGATGGCTTCCTGGAAGTCCACAGGCACCTACGTTGACGCTGTCCCCCCTCCTGGGGCGAACATCGTCAGTGGCATGTGGATCTTCAGGGTGAAGCGGCCGTCGGGTTCTCCGCCTGTCTTCAAGGCGCGTTACGTGGCTCGTGGCTTCAGTCAGCGGCAGGGAGTTTACTACTTTCAGACCTTCTCCCCCACCCCAAAGATGACCACTCTTCGGGTACTGCTGCACGTTGCTGCTCACCGTGACTACGAGCTACACTCTCTCGACTTCAGCACTGCTTTCTTGCAGGGCAGCCTGCACGAGGAGATCTGGCTGCGCCGCCCACCTGGCTTCACTGGGTCTTTCCCTCCTGGTACCCAGTGGAGTCTCCGGCGTCCAGTCTACGGTCTCCACCAGGCGCCACGTGAGTGGCACGACACACTGAGGACTACACTGGCGGCACTTGGGTTTGCTCCTTCTACTGCCGACCCGTCGCTATTTCTGCGCACCGACACCTCTCTGCCGCCGTTCTACATCTTCGTGTACGTCGACGACTTGGTCTTTGCCACAGCTGACACGGCTGGACTCGCCTACGTGAAGTCCGAGCTGCATCAGAGACACACGTGCACTGACCTGGGTGAACTGCGCAGCTACCTTGGCTTGCAGATCACCCGTTACAGAGCACGCCACACCATTACCCTGACTCAGTCACACATGGTGCAGCAGGTCCTTCAGCGCTTCGGCTTCACGTACTCCTCGCCTCATGCCACTCCTCTGCCTACTCGCCACTCGCTCTCAGCTCTGCCTTCGGATGAGTCCGTAGAGTCGAGTGGCCCGTATCCAGAGCTTGTTGGCTGCCTCATGTACCTGATGACCTGCACACGACCTGACCTTGCATACCCTCTTAGCATTCTTGCACGCTATGTTGCTCCTGGGAGACACCGACCAGAGCACATGGCTGCAGCGAAGAGGGTGTTGCGCTACTTGTGCAGTACGTCGGGCATGGGGCTAGTGCTTGGAGGGCGGAGTCCAGTGGTCCTCACTGGGCACGCGGACGCTTCTTGGGCTGACGACCAGGCTACGCAGCGGTCGTCACAGGGTTACACCTTCAGTCTTGGTTCCGGCTCTGTTTCGTGGCGGGCTTCCCGCTCGTCTTCTGTTCTCGGCTCCAGTTGTGAGGCTGAGATCTACGCCGGGGCTATGGCTGCCCAGGAGCTTCGCTGGCTCACCTACCTGCTGACTGACCTTGGAGAGCCGCCTCGTTCTCCTCCAGTTCTGTACGTAGACAACAAGGCCATGCTGGCCTTGTGTCGAGAGCAGCGACTGGAGCACAGGACAAAGCACATTGCTCTCCGCTACTTTCTTGCTCGTGAGCTACAGCAGCGTGGACAGTTGCGGCTTGCGTACGTGGCCTCTGAGGCCAACACTGCTGATGTCTTCACCAAGGCACTTGCGCCTTGTGATCATCAGCGCTTCTGCACTCAGTTGGGTCTTGTGCCTGTCTTGCCTCACTTGCTCACCTCTTGACCTTGCTTGTACTGTCACATATATATACTTCTGCTCTTGCTTGCTTAGCCTCTTATATATATATGTGATCTTGCATGTGAACTGGCCTTTTGGCCTTTGAACTTGTGCTCGGAATGTGTGGTGACTTTGTGATCCACCCTGAGCTTTGCTTTGCTTTGCTTGACTGGTCTTGTGACCCCTTGTTCTCCCCCACTTTGCCTATGGGGGTGTGTCAGAACGTATAGCTTATGCTTTTGTGTAGGCTATAGTGGGGTATCCCATAGGGGGTACAACCCAATTAGGGTTTCATATTTGTACTCACTTCATTCATCGTTCATTCATTCTCGTTCTAGTTTTCTCAACTACTGCCACCCGGGCCCCGTGGACACGTGGGTGCAACTGCTCTTCATCATGCTGCTGGGGTTGCTCGTTCCCACCGGCTGGAGGGTGTGGGAGTGTAATAACGTTTTGGAGGCACTAATGCCTGCACGAATGCCTTGCAGGGCGGGTCAATACGTGGGTGCAGCTGCTCTTCAACCTGCAGCTGGGACTGCTTGTTCCCATTAGTGGTGGCTAGGAGAGCATTGGCTGGCCAATGGCAAGTACAGCTGCCGCTGTAGGAGCCTTGTGGTTTTTTATCATAGTGGATTCTTCGGTGAAGCAGCTGTTCAAGGAGCTGCTACTGCTGTCGCTTGGGATAGTGTAAAGTTGCACAAAACAAAAGGTGGCTATCCTTTCAGGCAACGACTTGGAATTAAATCAGCACATCAAAAAAAATTGCTGAAAAGATGTATAAAACTTGAAGATTTATGTGATCTTATTGGTATCCGAAACATTTTTTTTCTAAGAGGAGTTTGAAAAATACCTTGCGGAAAAGAGTGGGGAGCTATGAAAGTGATTGTGTTATTTCTGTGTTTTGCTAGCAGAAATGTATTGAAGTCGTGTCAAATCGGTAGGTTAACTTGGGAGCCCAAATTCCAGCGGGAGAAAATGCCAGTGTAGAGAACTTCGCCAGCCATGACACAAGCGCGTATGGATGTCCTGTCCCGATGGTCCTTCCTCACCCAGCTGCCACCCAAATCTTGATTATTGAAGTCAAGTCGCACCGACTTTTCCACACCTCTCTGCACGAGTTGGAACTCCCGCAGTTCTTGTACTGTACACCTGTCTGCTTTTAACGGGGTCTGGAAGTAGGTGAAGTGGAGACATGGCAGGGGAGGGGAGTGGGGGTTTTGTGGAGGTTGTGGAGAGTGTAGGCGAACTCTGGTCAGGATTCGGCAGCCTTTCAAAATTTCGGATTCCAGTTTCCGCCAATATTCTGCTGACGTGTAGAGTCTCAGCGGCGTTAATATAGTCAGTTTGCTCATGAGCGGAATCCTCCGTGCATCATGCGTCGACGCGCCAGCTCGCCGCGCGGCGGGGATCGTTACCGCGAAGCGGCCAGGCGAGGCGAGATCCTGACCGTCTGTTTGTTTATCGTCACCGTCGTCATTCTCTGCTGCGCGTCGCTCGTTTCGATCTATTCTAACCAAGGATCCGCGCTTCTCCGGGAATGGTCGTCGTCGTCGTCCAAAGGCGAGACGAAATCCGGCGGTACTACACTCGGAGACTCGAAAATAGAAGGATCGGAAACCGAGTCGCCTTTTTCCGGACAACAGGACAGCACTGGTAGAAACCGTGGGGACTCTGAGACTGCCGAATTGGGCAATGCGGATCACCTGAGCGGATTGAACCAGATTCCGGGATCTGCGCTAGATTCTCCGGATAAGATCCGGCGATTTCGGAGGAGATTCGCGTGTATATCCAAGGCCGGTCGCTGGGTCTATAACTCCACTCCTCGGTTGTTACCGTGGCCTGACGAAATCAGCGAATGCGACGCAACGTTCGCGAAGCTGGACGAAAAAAACCTCGCTATGGAGAGGGCCGATAAGGTGGCAGAGCAGGTGGAGTCTATACAGGGAAGGATAAATCGCGTACCGGCTATGGTGAAATGGAGACCGAAAGTAGAGTCTATGAAGCGGGACCAAGCGATGCTGCGTAAGCGCTGGCGCGTAAGAGACACGCTCAAGTACGAGTGGTTAATACCAGGGCAGGTGGAGGAAGAGGAAGAGGCAGACGGCGGTGGAGGGCGAACGGACGGTCGAAATTATGCCACGTGTGGTGACTCCTGGGCCAGATTTGATCCTGAGCGGTTTTGTCAGATCATCGGGGGGAGAAATGTGCTTGTAGTTGGGGATTCCAGTAATATGGATTTGGCAGATTCGATTTGGCGGAATGCGAGAATGGGAGCGAAGGATCAAGCAGCCCGCGTTATAAGGGAAAAAGCGACTCCCTACTGCCAGCGGCTGAGAAAGGCGTCCAAGAAACCGTTACAATCACGCTGCTGGACTGTCAACCTCTGCTCCGATCTTGACAGTTCTTATACCGCGGAGGACCATAACGGCTCGGACGGATCCGTTCGTGGTTCAGACAGCCATGGGAAGGAAACGAACGGTCCAGATTTGACCTCGTCTTTGAGCCAGAAGGGGCGGAAAGGGGGTGGAGGAGAGAGGGAAGAGGTGGAGGATGCGAACCAGGAGCGAGCAGCACAGGCGGATTTGCAGCAGCGGCAGCAGCGGGAGGAGGAGCAGCGTGAGGGAGCAATCGCTGCTGGCAGGGAAGGGGAAGGGCTTAGGAAGATGGCTCTCCGGGCTGTGAAAGGGCGGTCAGAGGACCAGCCAGGGGGGGGAGGACGGCAGGATCTGAGAGAGGAGCAGCAGGAAGTGCAGCAAGGGAGGCAGCAACAGCAACCAGCACGGCATGGGAAGCTGGAAGATCATACAGGCAGGGTCACGAAGGCCAGGGGTAGGAGCGAGGGAAGGGAGGAGGAGGCAGGGAGAAGGAACGGAGAAGCGGGGGAGAATACAGGGAAGGAGAGGCTGCGTGAGAGAAGGAGGGGGAGTAGCAGAAGCGAGGAAAGGGAGGACGAGGCAGGGGGGAGGGTCGGAGAAACGATGGAGAATGCGGGGAAGGAGAGGCTGCGCGAGAGAGGGAGGAGCAGCAGCAGAAGCAGGGGCGACGGAGATGAGGATAGGATTGAGGGGAGGGATGATGAGAGGCGGGTGAGCGATAGAAGCGGAAGGAGCAAGAGAAAGGGGTCTGGGGCCGGGTCTATAGGTGTGGAGGTGAATTTGGGCGCGAAAGAGAGGGGCTTTAGCATGGGATCAGCTACTAAAGTTTTCCGGGCAGAGGAGCGTGCAGGTGGGAAGTCCAAGTCCAAGGGGAGAAAGAGCGACCAGCGGAGTTTGCTGAGCAATGGAGAGGAAGGCGAGGAGGTGAAAAGGGGAGAACCCATCGTGGCGAAGCCGTTCCAGATGCATTTCATACAGGATGATAGTCTCAGTGTGAATTACTCTACAGGAGCAGGAGCAGGAAACGAGTGGATTTCCAATAAGAGATTTACTGATTCGTGGATGGGGGAGATTGCAGCGCAGGGCGTGTCGATAGTGGTGTTGAACCGAGGTGATCACTCCATCCCTGATGAGCAGTTTGAGCGGCAAATGCGGTCCACTCTGCTGGCGCTGCGGCAGACCTACCCTGACCTGCTCATCCTCTCTATAAGCTCCCCCGCTGCGCACACCAACTGCTGGGAGCACTGGGCGCCGGTACAAGAGGTGATAAAGTCTCAGCTTGTGGGTGGTGAGAGTGGGGATGGGAGGGAGGTGCAGAATGGGATTGCGAAGGGATTGGTGGAGATGGTTGGAGGGGTGTTTGTGGATGTGGGCTATATGAGTGCGCTTAGACCGGATGGGCATGTGGGCAGGGATTGTACTCGTTATTGTCAGCCAGGGCCGGTGGATACTTGGACTCAAGTGCTGTACAATATGCTGCTGGATCTCTTGTAACATTCGGTATCAAGCAGAACCCCTGTTTTGATGTTTTCATTTGTAGGTAAAATCTCCAGAATTTGTCTCCAAAAAGCGCTGAAAATGCTTGTACACTGGCCCTGGGTGACAGAAGTGAATGCAGTCAGTCACCTCACCCACCACCCCACATGCTCTTCATAGTGCTTCATTGGTGTGATTCTCCCAGCAGCATGTTGAAGAGCAGCTGCACCCACATACCGTCATACCCCGGATAAACCCCCATGGGGGGCACTAATAAAACATGTTTTTTTTAGGGGGTGGGCTTATAATATAGTAAAATTATAAGCGCCGGCGTTTATGTTATGTCAAAAATGAAATTTGTTTTTAAATATACCAAATCGAAGCATTCTCAAAGGCGAATTCACCTGAGTCGAGAACGTTCGAAATTGTGCATGCTTTGCGCGTGAAACGGCCAACAAGGCGTGACATGACGCCTTCCACGTTTTGTTGGTCAGGCCCGGTTCATCGAACGTGAACCTGGCCCATGCCAGCGCACACGTACTTCGCATCACAGCGACCCAATCATGGTTGCATGCTATCGTGGGCACGTCGTGGTTCAGCCACGACGTGCCCATCAACATCAAGATTCCCTGCCACTGAGGCAAAGAGCTTCCCAGCTCAGCTCCTCTGCGGGGAATCTTGACTGTGGCTGGACTTTCCCCGCAGAGGAAGCCGGGCCGCAAAACTGAAGGGGTCTCGGGCGAGGGCTTCATACGGCCCTCATTCTCAGCTTTTGATTTAGTTTTCTTTGTTCGTTTGGCCTGCCGTGGCCATGGCGGGCCTTCCAGGCACGCGTTTCTTGTTCCGCCGCCAATCTGCTGCTAGAGAAAGTACCTGCAGAGACACCCGTGACTACTCTCAATGGCAGTCGCGCCCTGCGCCCGTCCCTCCATCACAACCAGTAGTGCCTCCCGTTCCTCCCACTCCTCCTACGCCTCCTACCCCTCCCGCTCCCCCGGCGCCTCCTATTCCTCCCGTTCCTCCGGCCCCTCCTGTCCTGCCTGGTGTTTGTGTTCCGGGACAGGGGGTTAGCAGCTTCTCCTCCCGCCTGGCTACTCGGCGTTCGATGCCTTCCTGTCCGACTCTGAACGCAGCGGCGGCGAAGGATCTTCCTCCGCACCGGAGCAACGGTGGGGAGCGCCGGCTGATTGCCCGTTGGACGAATCCGCAACCGGTGCAGACGACGACGTGGCGGAAAGGGCGGCGGCGAGCCGGTTTATGGCGGCGACGGGCCGCTGCAGAACGGGCGGCGGCGGGCCGGGTTAGGGCGGCGACGGGCCGCTGCAGAACGGGCGGCGGCGGGCCGCTGCAGAAAGGGCGGCGGCGGGCCGCTGCGGAAAGGGCGGCGACGGGCCGCTTAGGGCGGCGGCGGGCCGCTGCGGAAAGGGCGGCGACGGGCCGCCTTAGGGCGACGGCGGGCCGCTGCGGAAAGGGCGGCGACGGGCCGTCTTAGGGCGGCGGTGGGCCGCTGCGGAAAGGGCGACGGGCCGCTAGGGGCCGCCGCTAGGATAGGCGCGCTTCGGGCAGGGGGCACGACGCGCCCCGGGCAGAAAAAAAAAGTTTCGGTTGGTGGGCCCTAGGAACAGTCACATGAGGGAACCTGCTCGATACCATGAGGAAATACAAACGAGAATGAATGAACTATAAATGAAGTGAGTACAAGTACTAACCCTGATTGGGTTGTACCCCTTATGGGATACCCCACTATAGCCTACACAAAAGCATAAGCTATATATGTTCTGACACTGTTTATGCCGATGAATCTGCTGCCGCGCCATGTAGCTGGAGTTGATTGGTTCGAAACGTTGAATTAAAGCTGCCCGAAACTGCGTCCATGAACCCTCGCCTCGGACCTCGTTGCTATTGTAAATCCACTCGAGCGCCGGGCCTCGTAACAGTGTCGCTACGAGCCGAATCCGCATTGCATCATATGTCGGGGTCATACAGCCAACGGCCTCGAAGTAAATTTCGAGGGTCGCAATGAATCGACGAACGCCGGTGTTGAGAAGAAGCGAACGAGGATGAAATGACTATGAATGAAGTGAGTACAAATAGGAAACCCTAGTTGGGTTGTACCCCCTATGGGATACCCCACTATAGCCTATACAAATAAGTAAGCTATAATATTCTGACACACCCCCATAGGCAAAGTGGGGGAGAACAAGGGGTCACAAGACCAGTCAAGCAAAGCAAAGCAAAGCTCAGGGTGGATCACAAAGTCACCTTACATTCCGAGCACAAGTTCAAGGGCCACAAGGCCAGTTCACATGCAAGACCATATATTGAGATATACAAGAGTCAAGCAAGCAAGAGCAAGAGAATATATAGGTCAAGAAGTGAGCAAGTGAGGCAAGACAGGCACAAGGCCCAGCTGCGTGCAGCAACGCTGATGATCACAAGGAAGACATCAGCAGTGTTGGCCTCAGAGGCCACGTACGCAAGTCGCAACTGTCCACGCTGCTGTAGCTCACGAGCAAGAAAGTAGCGGAGAGAAATGTGCTTTGTCCTGTGCTCCAGTCGCTGCTCTCGACACAAGGCCAGCATGGCCTTGTTGTCTACGTACAGGACTGGAGGAGAACGAGGCGGCTCTCCAAGGTCGGTCAGCAGGTAGGTGAGCCAGCGAAGCTCCTGGGCAGCCATAGCCCCGGCATAGATCTCAGCCTCACAACCGGAGCCGAGAACAGAAGACGAGCGGGTAGCCCGCCACGAAACTGAGCCGGAACCGAGGCTGAAGGTGTAACCCTGTGACGACCGCTGCGTAGCCTGGTCGTCAGCCCAAGAAGCGTCCGCGTGCCTAGTGAGGACCACTGGACTGCGCCCTCCAAGCACTAGCCCCATGCCCGACGTGCTGCACAAGTAGCGCAACACCCTCTTCGCTGCAGCCATGTGCTCTGGTCGGTGTCTCCCATGAGCAACATAGCGTGCGAGAATGCTAAGAGGGTATGCAAGGTCAGGTCGAGTGCAGGTCATCAGGTACATGAGGCAGCCAACAAGCTCTGCATACGGACCACTCGACTCTACGGACTCATCCGAAGGCAGAGCTGAGAGCGAGTGGCGAGTAGGCAGAGGAGTGGCCTGAGGCGAGGAGTACGTGAAGCCGAAGCGCTGAAGGACCTGCTGCACCATGTGTGACTGAGTCAGGGTAATGGTGTGGCGTGCTCTGTCCCGAGTGATCTGCAAGCCAAGGTAGCTGCGCAGTTCACCCAGGTCAGTGCACGTGTGTCTCTTCTGCAGCTCGGACTTCACGTAGGCGAGTCCAGCAGTGTCAGCTGTGGCAAAGACCAAGTCGTCGACGTACACGAGGATGTAGAACGGCGGCAGAGAGGTGTCGGTGCGCAGAAACAGCGACGGGTCGGCAGTAGAAGGAGCAAACCCAAGTGCCGCCAGAGTAGTCCTCAGTGTGTTGTGCCACTCACGTGGCGCCTGGCGGAGACCGTAGACTGGGCGCCGGAGACTCCACTGGGTACCAGGAGGGAAAGACCCAGTGAAGCCAGGCGGGCGACGCAGCCAGATCTCCTCGTGCAGGCTGCCCTGCAAGAAAGCAGTGCTGAAGTCGAGAGAGTGCAGCTCGTAGTCACGGTGAGCAGCAACGTGCAGCAGTACCCAAAGAGTGGTCATCTTCGGGGTGGGGGAGAAGGTCTGAAAGTAGTCAACTCCCTGCCGCTGACTGAAGCCACGAGCCACGTAACGCGCCTTGAAGACAGGCGGAGAACCCGGCAGCCGCTTCACCCTGGAAATCCACATGCCACTGACTATGTTCGCCCCAGGAGGGGGAACAGCGTCAACGTAGGTGCCTGTGGACTTCTAGGACGCGGAGCGCGGAGCGCGGAGCGCTCTGCGTAAGAGCGCGGAGTCGGGATGTCTAGCGCATCCGGGTCTCCCTCAGGGGCTAGTAGTACAGACGCGAGATGAGGTGAAGCAGCGGCCAGGCACTGGAACTCCTCCTGCCTGTCCTCAAGGACGTCCGTGCCAAGGGCACACTCACCCCCGACGGACGGAGGACAGGCAGACTCAGACTCAGCGACAAGACGAGCAGCGTAGTCTAGACGAAAGCGTGCAGCAAAGTCGACGAGCTCAGTGACAAGGGCAGACGCAGTAGAAGACTCGAGAGAAGGGTCAGTGACAGCAGTAGCAAGGAGACGCGTGACAGTAGGACTGGCAGCACGAAGAGAGTCCGACTCCGGGTCGGCAAGAGTAAGAAGAGAGGAAGAAGGAGGAGAAGGCAAAGGGGCACGCAGAGGAGCAGTGGACGGACGCAGTGACATCCGGTGCGTGCCAGGGACAGGAGGAGGACGCTGACGCGAACCGCGACCACTAGTGCGTGCAGGACGAACAGGCGACGCAGGACGAGACGCAGGCTCACGACGCTCAGTAAGACCTCCAGTCGGACCAGTGTAGGGAGAAGGAGCAGGCAAAGGGGAGGGAGGCTGTAGCTGTGACTGGGGCTGGACAGGCTGTGGACCCTCTAAGGGAGGAGGAGGAGGACTAGGAGAAGGTGTAAGACCAAGAACCTGCTGCAGGAGTGGAACGAAGTACGGTCGGGGCCGCGTGAGGACGCCAGAAACAGCAGGGACAGCACAAGTACCCCCAGCAGGAGTACCCGCTCCAGCAGCACCACCAGCATCACCTCCAGCAACACCTCCAGTAGCTCCAGAACCTCCAGCAGCACCAGGAGCACTGCCAGTCGGACCGCCAGCAGTAGACTCAGCACCAACACCCTCAGCAGCACCAGCTCCAGGAGAACCCTCAGGCCCAGCAGCTCCAGCACCCACAGCACGAGCACCTCCGGGACGCGCGGTAGCAGCACCCTCTGCAGCCGAAGAACCTCCAGCACCAGCAGCACGCCTCCAGCGCCGGGCAAACCACTCACGCAGCTCCTGTGGGGAGAGTGGCTCTCGGCGAGATGAAGCACCTCCAGGCGGAGAACCTCCAGGCTCAGCACCCTCAGGCAAAGCACCTCCAGGTGGAGCACCCCCAGG